ATATAAAAATTGCTTATTCTCGTAAATATAACAACATATTTTATACGTGAAAGACTCATAAAAGAAATCTTGTAATTGATATGTGTGGGAAATCTTTTAAAGGAATTGCTTTGGGAAGTCTGCTTATTCATTTCCTTCCCCAGAGTTAGACCAGAAGCTCGATAACACTAAGATCCTTGAGCGGGTAAGCTCGGCTAAGAATAAACACTAAAAACTATACTTGGCTTTGTTGAAAGATAAAAAGATAACCGTCTACCAGGACCTCTTCAGAATGAGCAGGATATAATTAATGCATTGTATCCTGTTTATCTGGGCAAAACCTTTGGTTTTCAGCCACCTTTCTGTAGTATTGAAATCAAAATGCTGTACTATTCCTTTAAACCGGTATCTATGTCTCACCCACATTCTATGCATGCCTTTTCACCATTTTCTAGAACATTCCAACAGTGTGAAAAAGATCTGTAAAAATGCAGTACAGTATGTTCTGCATTTTAAAATGAAGAAAGTTTTTCCGTATTTTTTTAACAGTGCATCGAATCTTACCATCTGCTTTCTTATTATACAGCCAGCCATTATGCACTGTTTTCCATTTATTTCCATAAAGTGTAAAAATCTGTTAAATCTATTTGCGGAGACTCGGTGAAACCTCTGTGATACTTATCACACTTCTGTCTTCATAGTGTTAAAATGCAATGAAGATTTTACCAATCAATCTACACTTTCACCTGTGAAGCAAAACAACAGCACACGTTGTGTGACAAAATTATAAACCGGGCGTATTCACAGTTGGCTTTCAGGTCACCTGATTTATAGGTGTGGAAATTCAACAGTGTTCACGTGTTAGGTGGCTCTCTGTACTTAATTTAAAGTTGAACTGCTAGTATATTTTGGCAGCTAGAACTTATTGATCTCACTGACCTTTACACTTGTTGGTTGTCTTGTCCAGGATTGCCTTCGCAGACTGAATCTTTCCATACCTGCGTGCACAAAAGATGTAGACTACCGTTAAAGACAACGATGAATCAACAGCTGAGACTGTTCTCATTGTGTATTATTTAAGATTTCCAGATCCAGATTTCTCTGGATTTGTTTCCAGAGAAATCTCTACATGGAGAGCCTTCATTCAACTTGACAGTCAGGTTAAAGAAAAGAACAGTTCACAGGACGATTAAACCACACAATGTGTAACTGGTTTCAGTTTACATGTTTCAGGCTTTGCTTTATCTCTGACTTTCCACTCAAGTTGAACTCTGACACAAACTGTGAGCTTCTCTACCCGCACACCATACACACTGAATGCCTAGCTTACATCACCATTCAGACCTTGTTGCTATGAAAAGCACTTTCATTTCTGCTTTGTGCTGCCAAACACCACTGGGAACACGAACAAAACACAAGCAAACATGACACAAACAGCTGCTGTTGCTGCTGCGGGTTACATGAGTGGACGTCCTTTTCCATTTGCTTGTGAATCAGAAGGAAAAAGATTGGACAAAACAGCACTAATTATGGCAACCCACCACATTAACCACTTAGACCGGCGTCTGTACTATCAGCACGTATAAGGCATTCTCACCAGTTGAATGAGGGTTTTACAATCTGCTTTGCATACCAAAGATGAGCTGTGACTTTTCTATATGTTTCTTTATGGTGGTTGGCACCTTTTATGTGGACACTATGGTTAAACCAGCATGGTTTTTGCATGTCTGCATTGATTTTTTTGGCATCAAACAGCAAACAGGCTTTTATTTTTAAGAGTGTAATATTTTACTTTAATTCCAGTAACTATTAAACCACTTATGCTATTTATTTAGCATATTCAGGAAAGGTCTCTTCTTATTGTGTAGGAAACCAGTTATACACAAAATAATAACAAGAAATCATAACTCACCTCTTTATATTGCATTCACACTTAAAATTATGCAATAACAGGCAGACTGCTAGGCTTTACTTAAACTAATTACTATCCAACGACAATGACTGTGTTTGTAGTGTTGGTGCCTTTTGGAGAAAGTTTTAAGAAGTGTGCTGAATATATGGTGAATGAAATATTCCTGTCACCAAGCACTGAGTAGCAAGAATCCAATCATCCTGTCCAAATATGGTCACCTCTGGCTTCAAAAACTGAAGATTGTAAAAGCCGTAATATCAAAGCAGGAGTCCACACAACACAGGTGGTGTTTGATGGCTAACGCTATCTGTTAATCTGCTTAGCTTACTACAATGTGATGAATTGAAAATAAATATATATTCTGCCCAAAAGAACAAAATATGTCTCATGTCCACTCTTAAATTCTTACTAATTAGCTTTAAAAACCTTAAATGTAACAATTTCATGCTGTGCTGGTACAGATGTTAGCTTTCTATTTTCTGTCCTTTGTCCTAAGACAAGCTGACCCTGACCATTGAAAGTATTGAGATTTTGCAGCCATGAGATATCAACTTATCTGCCATTTTTGGACGCGTGACAATCATGCTGACAATTTAAAGTTAAGTGAATAAAACCCCAGATACACAGGCCTAAAGACCGGTCTGCGACCATCTGACAACCATCCATTTCTTGGGAAAAATGGATTCCCTGACCGATAGGCAAAACCTTTGTTGTGATGGTTTTTGGTTGCTAGCAGAATGCTGCAGTCGCCTGTAGTCTGCATGAACCCAGCTAGCTTGTCTACCAACACTGGCCAACTATTCTAAAAATGGCAGTAGAACTGTGAAAAATGCGCCTTTTAAAATGTCTTAGCTAGACGAACATTATTCTTTTCCAGTTTGTGCAGCACTTTTTCAGGGTTTACTACTTGGCTAGTAGGTAACAAGTGTTTGCAGACAAGCTACTGCTAGCGACCAAAGCAATTGCTAAAGGGTTTTTCTTGTAGTACAAGAAAGCAACTACTTACGAAATGGTTGGGGAATATAATTTTTTTCCCTTTTGATGTCCAATAAAGAGGACAGCTCTTGAACAATGGAGCTAGCTTCTAGTGGTGAAAAGTGAATCTAAGGTGGAATTACTTTGGATTGTCTTTAACAGCCAGCAGGGGACGACTCTTGTGGTTCCAAAATAAATTTGGGCTGGATAGAAACCCCTGGACTGGGACCTCGGTTTACATGTTCCTGATACATTTATGGTCACAATTGCTAGTTTCTGATTACACTGAACAAAAGATCAAATTAATGCGGCAAATTTAAACAGCAGGACGATCATGGCGAAAACACTCATGGGTCAATAGCAGGACTTCAGTAACCTGTGGATCAGTGATTCCCAGTGTGTGGGGCTTATCAACCTGGTGAACCACTGAAGTGCTGCTCGTGTACCATAACAAATCCCTTACATAAAAAAATTAATAAATAATTTTCAATTTTGTGAGTTATTTTAGCGCAAACTACTTATATTTTGCCTTTTCTGGGCCATTATCTGAGCCTGAATTTGTCATATATTCTTTCAATTAAAATGTATTTTTAAAAAATTGCTGTGCTTTTTTAGAGCTACTATTCAACCCCTTTCATTTGCAAAGTACAATAAGTGACAAAACATTCGTTTGCACAGCCATACGCGTATATGAGCACGAACTCACTGGTGACAGAGTTTGATCAGGTCCAGGTCTGTCGTGGCAGGAGGCAGGCCACGGATGTAAAGGTTAGTTTTGCTGAGCTGCTCCAGGCCTGTGCTGCTGCTGCTGTTGCTGCTGGGACTGGACGGAGTCATGGGGTAGGACTGCACACAGGAAACACACTGTTAGGAAATGTACGGGAGCTGGATAATCTAATTTAAACTCAGGTCAAGCGTGATCACAAGAACATTTCATCAGTGTGACAAACACACAGGGAAAACGCTGTCTGCACTAGTCCATGCAGTACTCGTCTAACATCAATAAGCACTGCTCGCTAAAGAGCTGCATTTCAGTTGGTTTTCTACAGCGAGACACACCTGAGACCACAACAGGTCCGGTGGTAGCAGAAGAAGGACTCAAGGATTGGCCAACTTTGAGCTGCTTTTAGGTTATTTGCTTGTATGCCACTCACATTCATTTTAAAGAATAAGGCATGCTAAACATTTGGTGAGTTTGCAGTGATGCCGATCACAGAAAACTCAACAAATATTAACAAATGTTACTAATTAACAACCCAGTTGTGCATAGAGGTACCTAAAATTAAGCAGTCAAACAAATTAAATTATTTAAAGGGACAGGAGCCTAAAAGCAGCTTTCCTACATCTTGAATATGTTCTTATAATAATTTTGTACGTTTCCATATTTCCATCGATCCATGCGTGTTCTTAACTCGCTTATCTGATTTAGGGTCACAGAAGAACTCCTTGAATTCTCTACCTTTTCTTAAACTGAGCAAAAGGTTTGCCCTTTAACCCGTTAGCTGTAAAAAGACAAATTTCCTGTGCATTCTTTTGCATTCTTATAGGTGGGCCTTTGGGTCTGACGTCAGACAGACACTTCCATTTTTTTTCTTACTTGCACACCAAACCACACCACTGCCCTGCAAAGCATTTCCTTCCCTTTACTCATTCATTAAAATCCCCCCACCAGCCACCGCAACCCTCTCCAGTTCAGATCAAAGACAAAGCGTGGCAAAATAACACCATCTGTCCATAACCGAAATACAATCCACATTTTAGGAGCCAAAACTGTGCACATGGGCCAAACAAGGCCAACTATGGCTAAATGTTCATAGCAGGTATTATTCTTTCACACGTGAAGACCTGATTCCTGCCACAGGAACATCTGTTAGGTCTCTTATGTGTTCAAGTAGAGGCCTTACACTTTTGTTGGTGTGCAATTACAAAGCTTAACTTAAAGCTAAAAAAAAAAAAAAGCCCATCAAAGCTTCTCCATTAGAGGGCAGCTATGGTATATTTTACTCGCAGGGCCCTCTTATAGCTGATTAAACACCTACACTGAAGACTCATTCTTCCCCTGAAGGGATTCATAGGAGATCGGATTCACATCCCCGTCCTCAAAGTAACGTGCAGTACCTTCCGATGAATATATATTACAAGAAAATTGAACCCTCGCTCCACCTTATCTGAAGCAGGGTTCACATTTCCGTCAGCGGCAGAGGTTAAACACCCGCCGCCTCTCTCCTTCCATCTTCCATCTTCAGATGGAAAAGCACAGGGGCACGGCCTTCATTCAGACCAGCCTTTTCTCTTCACCTGAGAGGTCAAAAAGAAGAATGCAGGCAGGCAGGCTGCATAGTTCACCCAGCACACTGACATTCATCCCAGCTCTCTCTCTCTCCCTCTCTGGATCCAACCAGAATGCATTAACCTATAAAATGGACTACAACCGTCATGCACATTGACCAGAGTTGGCCAGCAAGGTTATACGGACGTAATAATTAAAGTATCGGTTGTACAGCTACAGATCGGCTCGGATTTTATCTTTATTTTATTTAATATCTTCATCTTATTAGGTTTCCCCTTTTGACAAGTGCTGAGAGCAGATGATCTGTTTTCCAAACGGGGTTTAATTATTACCAGAATGTGGCGTGAACGCATGTAAATCTTGAAATGGCTTTCCAATGTCATGTGCTATTATTCACCCCATTTTCTCCCCTCAAAGTGTGATTAAAAAAAAAAAGTAGGAAGAAGGGGGAAAACCCCAATGTGTGTATGTGTGTGTCTTTGGCCTACCTGCTTACGATTGGCTGTCTTCGGCGGGTTGCCCGTGTTTGCAAAGATCATCCTGGAGGTTACAGATGGATTTTACTTCCTCCCCCCCAGAAAAAAGGAAAAAAAAAATCGCACCGATGAGAGCCACTATAGAGACGAAATCCGAGCGGGGTTCGGGAGCCTATCAAATAGCCAGTCGCTTTATAACATCCGCATCATGAACGGCTGCTGGACACTTTAAAAAAAGAACCCTCGGTCCCGCATAGGTACACTGTTACATCTATACAGTCAGATGCACACCAGGCGATGGACCAGCCCTCCGGTCCGGTTCATTGATCTACGACGTCCTGCTGCAGACCGCTCGGCAGTCCCACCTACTACAGACTAAACCATCTCCGCCTCTGCAGGGTGTTTGACATCAAATAAACTGCGTTGCCGCCACCTAAAAACTCGCAGCGGACGCTTGCTTATTACGATAAACGGACGTGTGGTGTCTGAGGCTCGGTCGAAATTCAGACATAAAGCGGGTTTGGGTTTGATTTTGGGAAGCACAATCAGTTTGGGCTCAACCCTCGCCGCCTTTCATGTTGTCGTCGTCCGCACATACCAAGCATTCTTCACCCCCACCTCCTGAAACCACACACACAGAGTTGTACACACACACACACCCTCTTCCTCTTTGTACCCTTCCCCCCGCCTCCCCCCGACACACACACCCCGTCCAACATAGGCTAGTACATGTCACAGAAGTCAGGATGCAGTGAAATATAAGCAGCCGCCACCGGCCCCGAGACGAGGTCACAGTTTCCCTGTAAACCGCACAATGTGGGACGGAGGCAAGAACACAGAGCAAATATTGAATTCAAAACACACAAAAACATGCTATTGATGTTTTCTGGAAGGCTTCATATCACATAATTATGAGTCAGAAGAAGAAATACTTTTTTTTTTTTTAATTTAACGGCTTTACAAGATTGATGAGTTCATGAACCCTTCGTAAAAGTGCGTTTTAACACTAACCACTTCACTGAATGATGGGAAAACAGGAATTGTACCTTTCTAGATTCTCATCAGCGGCTTCACTGTTTATTGAAGACTTTATTTAAAGACCAAGCGCTTTAAAAGTCCCGTCCCCCGTCTCCTACCTTTAAGGGCGATAATTTTATTCTAAAAAACAACCAAACAAAACCAAACTGTCTGTACAAAAATCTGAAATTTTGAGTAAA